TTAAGCATTGTACTTGACAACGTAATGAAGTGTTCATTTATAAATTATGTGAGAATCCCATATATTTCTAAAACTGCCAGTTTCCCCCCCATGACTATATTTTAATTCTGAATCCTTCTGGTGTTGATTAGAGCCACTCTACCTTTCCCTTTGTTTAAGTGTAAAAGGATTATAAAGCAGCATTTTGTGGACAATTTCTTATTGTTTGATATTAGCGGGCCATGAAATATATGGAATCTTCCCCTTAATCACCACTGGGTGGTATGATGGTAAAAGAGTAAAAGAAGATTCTATGTGCATGGTAAAAGAGTAAAAAGAAGATTCTATGGCCACTTAGAGGATATCTAGTCGTCAACTTCAAAACCCCAGGAGATTAGTTGAGGTATGCACAAGTTGGTCAGACACCCCAAAGAGACATTTCACCTTATGTTTGTTATATTAACATTGTATATAAGATCTTTAAGTTTAAACTACGTTATTTTTATAATGAATTTGTACGTTAGTATTATCTTTATTATACAAAATTGTACATTCCATATTCTTTATTATTTAGGTGTTTGTAGGAAATTTAACAAGCTAACTTTTTAAACATCAAATTCTCATCGTTTGCTATATTCATTTGTATTTCTTTAATGACCTACTGCTAGCAGTGAATTATAATTCTTGTTATGCCTGAAAAGTAGGGCTAACGTGGACTCGTCAGCGAGAGTAATCAGGGTTCAGAAAGGTTTTGTACCGTCAACACTGCCACTCACGCAGTGACGGAAGAGGTATGGTTCTTGTCATGCAGCAGGTGAGTGCAAGTGAGTGTCAGGCTTGCAGTGGTTAGGAATTATCCACCTGTCCAAGCCCTACGCAATTTGATGGATATTTCTCGTGTAGATAACCAATGGGATGCAAAGAAGGATTTGACGACACCTACCCACTTGCAGTCTTGTAATCATTACCTGAACTCTCCCACTATAAATAGAGGACATCCTCTCATTTACAGGATTGGCTAATCTTTGTCTAAAACAGCTTATACCTCTCTCTCTCTCTCTCTCTTCTATCTCTCTCTCTCTCTCTCTCTCTCTAAATTATAACTCAGCTCGCCTCACGCGACCTGATTTTACCCATTTAATACAATAGCAGTGGACGTAGGATTCGCTTTTGAGCATCCGAACCACTTTAAATATCCTTCTCATTCATTTCATTTCATTTTTCCTTATCACATGTGATTTCTAAGTCCGCTTAGCACTTTGCACGTGTGGTCGTTGATGTCAAAATCAAGTATCAACAATTGCACGCTAGAAGAGGGTCTGTTTAGTATCTGTCTTCATCAGAAATCTCTGACTAATTGGTGTAATACTTTTCTCTAGTAGTACTCGAAAATAAACAATACTATAAGAAATATATAATAATATACATAGATGAGTATGAATAATGGGCCCATACTGATTTTCTTTATATACAAATCTTTACTTAATATAATAAAGGTCTAAAACAGTAACCTGTAGTGTTGCCAAACCCTTCTTCTTGAGTTCCAAGTGACTGCATCTCACCTACTACTTGCAAAACGTGAAAACAATGGGTGAACAAATGCTCAGTAAGTAAACCCACTATGCTACCCTTCTCTCTTCGTTGCTAAATTCTGAATTTCTTTCCTTACATCACACTTCTCTATTCTTCTATGTTCTTCTCTGTTCTTTCTCTATTCTTTCAATTTCTAATTTCTCACTACTCATGATAATAGGCATGGTATCAAGCATAGGTATGATGCAAATGCACAAATGCATAGAATGTGCATTTTCTTTTCGTTTTTCTATTTTCTATTCTGTTTATGCTTCTTTTCTCTGTTTATTTCTTTCTTTATATTCTTTCTTTTTTATTCTTTTCTTTCTTTTTCTTCTTTCTTTTTTTTCTTTTTTCTATTCTTTCTTTCTTTTTGGATCGACTCGATTGAGGCATGGATTTGGAACCTAGTCATGTGAGTGTATTTTCTAATTCTGGGTACAGTCCTCTACCACATGCACTTAACGGACTATCAATTCTTCTTTCTAAATTCTGAGGCCGCTCACTAAAGGCGCGCGTGCATGCGAGGCTATGTCACTCAAGGGTTCCCCATCGCAACAACCTTCTCTTCTTTTATCTTTTTACACTTCTTAAATAAAAATTCAATTTGAACTTCTTTAATATTTCTCATTTTTTATATATTCTTTAACTTTAATGTTCATTAATGCTCTTATGAATATGTATGCATGTAGATGGGCCTCATGTATTATTCTCTCTAAATTCACAGTTTGGGATGCAATAATGCAATATAGAATGTAAACATGCCATTCTTACCATCTACAAAACTCATCTCAAGACATCAAGTAATCATAACTCATTATGACTCTCTTTGACATTTCATCAAACAACTTATGCGCACACACAAACTCTAAATTGGATACACTTCTACATCTCTTCTAAGCCACCAAAATTTGGAACAAAATTCTCTAAAATTAACGCCAACCTGTCCAGGATTTAACACTCCAAATTCTACTCCATCTTCCATAATTCATCCAAACTCTCATCAAACATAAGTACACAAACACTACTTCTCATGGATAAATTCTAAACTCATTCAACATCCATTCCATCAACAATTCTTCATATATAAACACATATATGCATAAAAGAAATTCTCTACACAAATTACTCAATCATAACTAGGCTTGGACTAACTTACCTAGATGTGAGCAATCCAACTTTAGTAGTCTTCTTTGATACAACTCCCTTCTCTTAAATCCTATGAACACAAACATAAGAATTCAACACTTAAAAATTAAAACTCATATTTAGTGCAGGATCTACCTAAGGATGCTTGAGATGAAATTCCACTAAAAATAAACCAAGATCTATGAATTTCACTGAAAATGATGTGAGAAATTGAGAGAATTTGGGGATGAAGGTGGCGTGAAAGTGGAGAGAAATGGACTAGGGTTTCATTATTCAACTCTTGATATAACAAAATATTATTTATTAGTTTCCCATTTCACCCTTGCACTTTCTATGAAATTCCATCTATGTCTCTTAATCAATTACCATAATGCCCTTATTTTTATTGCATTCTCCATGAAATTCTATCTCTATTCACTCCCCACACTTTCAACTAATTATGAGTGAAAAGACCATTTTACTCCAAATGAAAATTTAGGGATTTTCTTCACACTTGTTCAAGATAACTTTAACAAAATTCAACTAAGGTATTAGAGCATAAGTAAAGCTATGTACCTCAATGTGGGCGTTACATTGGTCCTACCAATCGGCAAATGGCTCGCGGTTTCAAACCAGAGTGAACCAGCTATGACAATGAGGAAATCCCCCAGGTACAAGAGGACACTTCTCCCGAAGTGTCGCCAGTCCAACATAATATCATGACGGATATTCCTTCAAGCTCGCAGCTTGACCCAGTCGTCATGAGTTACTTAGAGGGGTTCAACAATACTCTCTAAACGGTTAGCCAAAGGCTAGACCATTTGGATCGTATCATGCCACCAGAATCCAATGAGGCAGCAAAAAAGGCCTGAAAGTCGAGTGAAATCGCAAAAAAAGGGCGAAAGCCTATACCGCGCATACTGCAGCGCGTCAAAGAAGGGGGAAACAAGTGGCTAATAGCGGACCAGAAGGCTCCGAGGGACCAGCGATCACTGGTCGTGCAACGGGTAAAATATCTGTGGCACTACGACTCAACGACATGTCATGGCATGAGCCGTCCCATGCCACATCGCATAGGCACTCCCACAAAAGTGCAAGGCGGGGAGACTCCTAGTATCGCTAAAATGACAACCTCGACCATCGTCATGCGAGAAATCCCAGTCATCTGCGGGTCGGTTTGGACCATCGCAAAGATCGAAAAAATTCTCCGAATCACTCAATGTCATCACACGAATCCAGCCGGTGTGTGTCAAGGTTGGTTAGAGCTTCTGGCCGAGTCGAGGAAGAGCCCGATTTGCAGTATTTCCTCAACCGCAACCGTGAGGGTCGAACCCACATTGCAAAAAGTGATCCCCAAGCAGCTCCGCTACCTCAGATTGAGGAACTACAGTGAGCGTTGGATCAGCTTAAGGCTCAGTAGAATGAGCATGGGAAGGTCGCAGAGGCTTATCCCTTTTCTCCAGCAATGTTAGTTGTTCCCCTCCCATCAAGATTCAGAATGCCCAACATGCGAGCATTCGATAGGAATTCAAACCCGCAGGATCACCTGTATGAGTTTAACGACCTCATGGAACTCCACCAAGTCTTCGACTTGGACAAATGTCGTTGCTTAGCAGTAATCCTAACTGCCTATAAACACGCAACACAAAGGTTTACCAAACAGTTCACACCCATCATTACCGTCAAGACAAGCTATCAACAAAATAGTAAAAGAAAAAGGAGAAATTCTTTTTACCTCTTGGCTACCAGGAACAGACTTTCTATCGTAAACAAAGGGTGCGCACCAATTGGAAAATCGGGAGAGTGGTCTCGTGAGAGCTTTGTTATTTCTTTGAAAGTATGAGTTTTGTGACAATGCTTGAGATGAGCTTGGGGTTTTATAGGGGGAGGAAGCGATGATTGATTTCCTTAAGGTAAGCGACGCTTGGGCCGAATACGTTTCTCGCCATTGATTGCAACCACATGTCATCAATCNCATTGTGAAGAAAATGATGAAAGCTGAACGTATGCTCTGACGCTCTAATGTAAGACAGTAACAGATAGCATTCAATCCATGTTACAGTTATTTTAATAATATGTCTAGTGGCAGGCAAAAACCTTTTGTTCAACTTTGATCTTTTGTCTTGATAGAATCTCGGCGACACAGGATAATTTTATTAAAATAAAGAAATATGGTATGACTCAGTTTCAATTTTCTGTTTTAAAAATCTATTATTGGATTTGGTATCCAAGGGCTGAACCGACCGGTAACGTTACCGGATTGTTACATATAAATATTGCCTTATATGATTGAAAGATTCATACCATCCTTGACTATTTATAGAACACCTTGTCCATCAAGTCCACATACAGCAAGACCATTAATTCTGTCTAGTGTCCAACACTTGACTGCTACAAGAAAGCCAAAAATATCAAATATGGAAGCTTCAGTTGGAGATATTTTGATTGTGGGAGCTGGAATTGCTGGCCTGACAACATCACTGGGACTTCACAGTTATTGCTATATAGATATTTAATAGATAGAGCATGCCTGCATATGAATAATTGTGGGAAGTTTATGTACAATTGCACTAACAAGAAAGTGTATGTTGCAGGCTGGGAATCAGAAGCTTAGTATTGGAATCATCAGACACTTTGAGGGAGACAGGATTTGCATTCACTACTTGGAATAATGCCTGGAAGGCCTTGGATGTTCTTGGCATCGGTGACTCACTTCGTCAACCACATCAGCAGCTCCAGGGGTATCTTAAACCTCACCCTGCATACGCGGCACGCAACTTGATTATATAAATAAGGAAATTCTGAGGTTTTGCACCAGTATTTCTCCACTGGTGCTCATTTGGTGGAGCTCGAATTTATCTCTTATCCACTTCATTAGTAGGACTTAAAGTGCGTTCTCTTTGACTCAAAACCAAAGATATTATCCTTAGAAGTGAGCTCAGACTATCCCCTAAGAGTTGTAATGTCCCCAACCCACCTCCTCCAATGGGGTTCAGTGAATTACAATAATCACATATTGTTTTTATCCGCCTCCTTTTTATGGGATTTGGATTTGATTTTTACCCACCTTAAATAGTGGGACTCTGCGTCCTGTGGACTCAAATCCAAAATATCTAGGTCGAGAAGAGAAAAATCCGAGCCGACCTACAACTTGGTGAACTACCTTTTAGTTAACACTGAAAGATGGAGTGGTTCAATAATTTGTTCTACACAATTTCTAGAAAACAAAATGATTAAGTAGAAACCATTAATAAATAATTTATTGACACCTAAATTTGTTTACATGAAATTGACCTGAACAGATCTTATGCAGGATGGTGGTTACCTCCACTATATCAAGACAACCCCCTTCTGAGAGATCATTGAAGTCTGAAGGAAAACTGTAAGCTCTTACACAAATTATGCAGATGATTAACTGGATTTTTATTTTGCATATCTATAGTATGTTGGATTCTTATTGCTGTTGTTTTGCAATGTAGTAGTGAACGTGAAATTCGATGTGTGAGAAGGAAGTTGTTGCTGGAAGCACTTGTGAGGGAACTCCCAATTGGCACCATCAGGTTCTCCTCAAATGTGGTTTCTGTAGAGGAATCCGGCTACTTTAAGCTGGTTCATCTAGCTGATGGCAGCATCCTCAAGACCAAGGTGACACTTTATGCATGGTTACAAAAAATACAAATATTGAACTTGATAACATGGTTATTGGATTTTTTTTTTTTTTTTTTTTTTTTTTTGGCCGAAATGAAGGTGTTGATGGATTGATGGAGTGAACTCAGTGGTGGCAAAATGGCTTGGCTTGAAGAAACCAGATTTTGCAGGAAGATCTGCCATCAGGGGATATTCAGATTTTAAGTGCAGCCATGGCCTTGAGCCCGAATTCCTTGAGTTCCTTGGAAAAGGGGTTAAATCTGGTTTCCCCCCCTGTGATGATCAAACTGTTTATTGGTTTTTCACTTGGAGTACCTCCAGCCAAGGTAATGACCCCTTCTTAAAAGCTTGTTTGCTTCAACAGCATCAGCATATATATATATATAAGGAAACAAAATATATGTATTGACAACAAAAATGAGTTATTTTAGTGGATCGGATGTCCGCAACAAACTCTTAAAAGATACAAGCTGTACAAACAGATAAAATCAATCTATACAAAACTTCAGGGCCAAATTAATGGAGATGAAAAAAGCGAAGAATAGTGAAAATCCTTGGAGACCAAAGCCCAAAGAGATGCTAAGAACCAAATTCTATCCCATAAATAGCTTAATATCTTTACCCATTTTTCTTCGAAAATGCGAGCATCACAAAAACAACACGACTCCACAAGGTCTTGGCTTTCTTTTCTCCGAAAGGCAAAAACTTTCTTCATAAGCAAATCTCCACAGTTTTGAAGGGATAACAGTATTGATCATAGCAAATTATAATTATTACTAATTGTTTCTATATAACTTGTAGATAAAGAACTTGCAAGTCCAGCTGAGATGAAGCAGTTTGTGTTGAGTAAGTTTAACAACTTACCTGATAAAGTTAAGGCTGTTTTAGAAAACACTCCACTAGAAAGCATTATTTCCTCACCACTGAGATATAGGCACCCCTGGGAGGTGCTGTGGGGAAATATTAGCAAAGGCAATGTGTGTGTGGCTGGAGACGCACTGCATCCTATGACACCAGACCTTGGCCAGGGAGCGTGTTCAGCCCTAGAAGATGGCATTGTTTTAGCCAGGTGCATTGCTGAAGCCTTGACCAAAACACCCTGCCGTGAATTAGACAATGATGAATTTAGGAGGATTGAAATGGGACTGAATAAATTTGCCAAAGAGAGAAGATGGAGAAGCTTTCAGCTCATCAGCACAGCATATGTGGTTGGTTTTATACATGAAAGTAAAGGAAAGATTATGACCTTTTTGAGAGATAAGATTTTGCCTGCATTCCTAACTGGAGTGCTGATTAAGAGAGCTGATTTTGATTGTGGGGAGCTCAGCATCCTGAATGCCACCGCTTCTGTCTAAAACACCAGATGGAGCATCAAAAGCTCTGTAAAATTACAATAAAAATGTGATTGTTTTGTAAATGTGTGAAGTCAAAATGTTCTTAAGCATTGTACTTGACATATCATGTAATGAAGTGTTCATTTATAAATTATGTGAGAATCCCATATATTTCTACAAACTGCCAGTTTCCCCCCCATGAACTATATTTTAATTCCTGAATCCTTCTGGTGTTGATTAGAGCCACTCTACCTCTTCCCTTTGTTTTAAGTGTAAAAGGATTATAAAAGCCAGCATTTTGTGGACAATATTCTTATTGTTTGATATTAGCAGGGCCATGAAATATATGAGAATCTTCCCCTTAATCACCACTGGGTGGTATGATGGTAAAAGAGTAAAAGAAGATTCTATGTGCACTTGGTAAAAGAGTAAAAGAAGATTCTATGGCCACTTAGAGGATTATCTAGTCGTCAACTTCAAAACCCCAGGAGATTAGTTGAGGTATGCACAAGTTGGTCAGACACCCCAAAGAGAATCTTCACCTTTATGTTTGTTATATTTAACATTGTATATAAGATCTTTAAGTTTAAACTATCGTTATTTTCTATAATGAATTTGTACGTTTAGTATTATTCTTTATTTATACAAAATTGTACATTCCATATTATTCTTTATTATTTAGGTGTTTGTAGGAAATTTATACAAGCTAACTTTTTAAACACATAAATTCTCATCGTTTGCTATATTCATTTGTATTTCTTTAATGACCTACTGCTAGCAGTGATATTATGAATCTTGTTATGCCTGAAAAGTTAGGGCTAACGTGGACTCGTCAGCGAGAGTAAATCAGGGTTCAGAAAGGTTTTGTACCGTCCAAACACTGCCACGTCACGCAGTGACGGAAGAGGTATGGTTCTTGTCAATGCAGCAGGTGAGTGCAAGTGAGTGTTAGGCTTGCTAGTGGTTAGGAATTATCCACCTGTCCAAGCCCTACGCAATTTGAGGATATTTCTCGTGTAGATAACCAATGGGATGCAAAGAAGGATTTGCACGACACCTACCCACTTGCAGTCTTGTAATCATTACCTTGAACTCTCCCACTATAAATAGAGGACATCCCTCTCATTTACAGGATTGGCTAATCTTTGTCTAAAACAGTATTACTCTCTATCTCTCTCTCTCTCTCTCTCTCTCTCTCTCTCTCTTCTAAATTATAACTCAGCCGCCTCACGCGACCTATTTTACCCACCATTAATACAATAGCAGTGGAGTAGGATTCGCTTTTGAGCATCCGAACCACTTAAATATCTTTTCATTCATTTTTCATTCATTTCTCTTATCACATGTGATTTCTAAGTCCGCTTAGCACTTTGCAGTGTGAGTCGTTGATGTCAAAATCAAGTATCAACAATTTGACGCTAGAAGGAGGGTCTGATTAGTATCTGTCTTCATCGAAATCTCTGACTAATTGGTTGTAATACTTTTTCTCTAGCTAGTATACTCGAAAATAAACAATACTATAAGAAAATATATAAATATATATTCATAGATGAGTATGAAATAATGGGCCCATATCTGATTTTTCTTTATTACAAATCTTATTAATATAATAAATCTCAAAACAGTAACTCTATAAGTGTTGCCAAAACCCTTCCGCTTCTTGAGTCCAAGTGACTGCATCTCACCTACTACTTGCAAAAACGTTGAAAACAATGGGGGGGAACACTAATTGCTCAGTAAGTAAACCCACTATGCTACCCTTCTCTCTCGTTGCTAAATTCTGAATTTCTTTCTTTACATTACACTTCTCTATTCTTCTATGTTCTTTCTCTGTTCTTTCTCTATTCTTTCTCAATTTCTAATTTCTCACTATCATGATAATAGCATGGTATCAAGCATAGGTATGATGCAAATGCACAAATGCATAGAATGTGCATTTCTTTTCGTTTTTCATTTTCTTATTCTGTTTTATGCTTTTCTTCTTGTATTTCTTCTTCTTTTTTATTTTCTTTTCTTTTCTTTCTTTCTTTTTTTTTCTTTCTTTCTATTCTTTCTTTTTCTTGTTGATCGACTCGATTGAGGCATGGATTTGGAACCCTAGTCATGTGAGTGTATTTTCTAATTCTGGGTACAGTCCTCATCCACATGCACTTCTAACGGACTATACAATTCTTCTTCTAAATTTTGAGGCCGCTCACAAGGCGGCGTGCATGCGAGGCTATGTCACTCAAGGGTTCCCCATCGCAACAACCTTCTCTTCTTTTATCTTTTTACACTTCTTTAAATAAAAATTCATATTGAACTTCTTTAATATTTCTATTCTTCTATCTATTCTTTAACTTTAATGTTCATTAATGCTCTTATGAATATGTAAGCATGTAGATGGGCTCATGTTATTATTCTCTCTAATTCACATGTTTGGATGCAATAATGCAATATAGAATGTAACATGCCATTCTCTACCATCTACAAACTCATCTCAAGACATCAAGTAATCATACTCATTTATGCAATTCTCTTGACATTTCATCAAACAACTTATGCGCACACACAAACTCTAAATTGGCTACACTTCTACACTCTCTTCTAAGCCACCAAAATTTGGAACAAAATTCTCTAAAATTAACGCCAACCTGTCCAGGATTTACACTCCATAAATTCTACTACATATTCCATAATTCATCCAAACTCTCATCAAACATCAAGTACACAAACACTACTTCTCATGGATAAATTCTAACATTCAACATATTCCATCAACAATTCTTCATATATAAACACATATATGCATAAAAGAAATTCTCTACACAATATTACTCCAATCATAACTAGGCTTGGACTAACTTACCTTAGAGTGAGCAATCCAACACTTAGTAGTTTCTTTGTACAACTCCCTTCTCTTAAATCCTATGAACACAAATCATAAGAATTCAACACTTTAAAAAAAACTCATATCTTAGTGCAGGATCTTACCTAAGGATGTTGAGATTGAAATTCCACTAAAATAAACCAGATCTATGAATTCACTTGAAAAATGATTGAAGAAATTGAGAGAATTTGGGGAGAAGGTGGCGTGAAGTGGAGGAGAAATGACTAGGGTTTCATTATTCAACTCTTGATATAACAAAATATTATTATTAGTTTCCCATTTCACCCTTGCACTTTCTATGAAATTCCATCTATGTCTCTTAATCAATTACCATAATGCCTTATTTTTATTGCATTCTCCATGAAATTCTATCTCATATCAATCCCCACACTTTCAACTAATTATGAGTGAAAAGACCATTACCCAAATGAAAATTTAGGGATTTTCTTCACACTTGTTCAAGATAACTTTAACAAAATTCAACTAAGGTATTAGAGCATAAGTAAAGCTAGTACCTCAATGTGGGCGTTACATTGGTCCTACCAATCGGCAAATGCTCGCGGTTTCAAACCAGAGTGAACCAGCTATGACAATGAGGAAATCCCCAGGTACAAGAGAGCACTTCTCCCGAAGTGTCGCCAGTCAACATAAATCATGACGGTATTCTTCAAGCTCGCAGCTTGACCAGTCGTCATGAGTATCTAGAGGGGTTAACAATACTCTCTAAAGGTTAGCCAAAGGCTAGACCATTTGGATCGTATCTGCCACCAGAATCCAATGAGGCAGAAAAAGGCCTGAAGTCGAGTGAAACGCAAAAAAGGGCGAAAGCCTATACCGCGCATACTGCAGCGCGTCAAAGAAGGGGGAAACAAGTGGCTAATAGCGGACCAGAAGCAGAGCTCCGGGGACCACGCATCTGGTCGTGAACGGGTAAAATATCTGTGGCACTACGACTCAACACATATCATGGCATGAGCCGTCCCAGCCACATCGCATAGGCACTCCCACAAAAGTGCAAGGCGGGGAGACTCCTAGTATCGCTAAAATGACAACCTCGACCATCGTCATGCGAGAAATCCCGTCATCTGCGGTCGGTTTGGACCATCGCAAGATCGAAAAAATCTCCGAATCACTCAATGCATCACACGACTCCAGCCGGCGTGTGTCAAGGTTGGTTAGAGCTTCTGGCCGAGTCGAGAAAGCCCATTTGCAGTATTTCCTCAACCGCAACCGTGAGGGTCGAACCCACATTGCAAAAAGTGATCCCCAAGCAGCCTCGTACCCAGATTGAGGAATACAGTGAGCGTTGGATCAGCTTAAGCTCAGTAGAATGAGTGGGAAGGTCGCAGAGGCTTATCCCTTTTCTCAGCAATGTTAGTGTTCCCCTCCATCAAGATTCAGAATGCCCAACATTCGAGCATTCGATAGGAATTCAACCCGCAGGATCACCTTATGAGTTAACGACCTCATGGAACTCCACAAGTCTTCGACTTGACAAATGTGCTTGCTTAGCAGTAATCTAACTGCCTATAAACACGCCACACAAGGTTTACCAAACAGTTCACACCCACCATTACGTCAAGACAAGCTATCAACAAAATAGTAAAAGAAAAAGGAGAAACTTTTTACCTCTTGGCTACCAGGAACAGACTTCTATCGTAAACAAAGGGTGCGCACCAATTGAAAATCGGGAGAGTGGTCTCGTGAGGCTTTGTTATTTCTTTGAAAGTATGAGTTTTGTGACAATGCTGAGATGAGCTGGGGTTTTATAGGGGGAGGAAGCGATGATTGATTTCCTTAAGGTAAGCGACGCTTGGGCCGAATACGTTTTCGCCATTGATTGCAACCACATGTCATCAATCACGAGAAGAAGTAATGCCACGCCTTGAGAATGTCAATCGACGCTTCCTCTCATTGGAACAACCAAGTGACGACTCGATTTTCTCTTCCACATTAAATGCGCCCTCATCCGCATTTAATGCTCTAAAAGGGAATGTCTTTCAGCATGATCTCCATTTAATGCGCACAGCTGGCACTTATTGCACAATAGAAACGTATGTCAGAATAAAGATTATTTATTAAAAAGATTAGCTGTCAAGGCAACAAATAACATCTGAAGAGGTCGTTGGGCAGAACACTTTTCGTCGCGTATTGATTTCGAGACAATGCAATTCCTTGTCTTTGGTAAAAATATGCTAAGCATTATCAATTCGCCGGCCACGGATGAGATTCGAAGCACCATCGTAGAGACATGAGTGGGGCCTGATCCAGGTCGTTGAACTTGTGGAAGAAGGCCACCTCAGGTCGCTTGTACTACCCTTAGAACATGTGCTAGTATCTCTGCAGCTCAGTCAACTCGACCAAGCGTCTTCGGGACAGTCAGTCGCGGCATAATCATGAAGTTCTCAAGGTTCAATCCTTAAACCTTAAAAACTAGGGACTTTTTTATACCTAAAAAGTTAGGTTGATGTGGACTCGTCACAAGAGCCAATCAGGGTTCATGAAGGTTTGTATCATTCAGATGCTGCCATGCGCGCAGTAACGAAAGAGGTATGGTTCTTGTCAGTGCAATAAGTGAGTGCAGGTGAGTGTCAGGCTTGCAGTGGTAGGAATTATCCACCTGCCAAGCCTACGCAATTTGAGAATATTTCTCGTGCAGATAACCAATGGGATGCAAAGAAGGATTTGCACCACCTCCCCACTTGCAGATTGTAATCATTACCTTGAACTCCCTCTATCCACTTAAATAGAGGCAACTCCTCATTTACGGTGGCTAATCTTTGTTTAAAACAGCTATACTCTCTATATCTCTCTCTTTGTATTCTCTCTAGATAATAACTCAACTTGCCTCACGCGACCTGATTTTACCCTCCTATTAATACAATAGCAGTGAACGTAGGATTCGCTTTGAGCATCCGAACCATTTAAATATCGTTCTCATTTATTTTTTTTCATTTCATTTTCTTATCACATGTGATTTCTAAGTTGCTTAGCACTTTACATGTGTGAGTTGTTGTGTCAAAATCAAGTATCTGCAAATCTAAACCTCATTTGAAAACCTTGAACAAGATTACAAGTACCTGTGTCATGATATTAGAATCATATTCTTTATTTTAAAAATTACCCTGTGTCGTGGAGATTCTATCAAGAAAAAAGATCAAAGTTGAACAAAAGGTTTTTGTCTACCACTATACAACTTGATATATATAAAGTAACCTTTCTATAATCATATATTGGGACAATTAAATTTATTACTATAAGGAGGTTATAATTAGGAATATTAAATGGGATTGAAAAGATATCTAAAAGAGAGGAGACAAAAAGTTTTGAGCTAATCAGCACAGCTTATGTGGTTGGCTGGATACAGGGGCGGATCCAGCCTACTTTGCCCACCCTCAATTTTATTTTAAAAAATATAATATATATAATTTTGGATTTTAGCCCACCTAATAAAAAAATTACTGGAAAAAATATTAATGTGTAATTAGTTTTATTTTGACCTACTCTAACACAAAATTCTAGATCCGTACTGGTTGGATACAACAAAGTGACAGGATTGAAAAGTTACCTCAGTCGAAGACCCAAACCAATTGTCAAGTTTAAACTGTGAACAAAACAATCAAGCACAAAAGGATATAGGTTAATTACTCTCAGAAGTTGACACGAGTCATACCATATTCTTATTTTAATGAAATTACCCTGTGTCGTGGAGATTCTACCAGACAAAGATCAAAGTTGAACAAAGGTTTTGTTACCACTAGATATATTATTAAAATAACTGTAACATGGATTGAATGTAAATGTTATTGTTTTAATTAGAGCGTCAGAGCATACGTTCACCTTTCATATTTTTTCCAGTGATTCAAACTTTGTCCTCTTCTTAAACTTTGTTTTTTTTTTTTTTTTTTTTTTTGTTGCTTACGGCTTGAAATATGTATAGAACCTTGTAAATAATCGTAACATGGACAAATTAAATTTATTATTATAAAGGGTTAAAATTTTAAGAAGATTGAGATAATTTAAAAGAGGAAGAATAAATTTTGAGCTAATCAACACAACTTATGTGGTTGGTTGAACTGCCAATAAAATCATAAGCACACAAAGTGCAGTTGGGTCATAAGTTGACACTAGTCATACCAAATTTCTTTATTTTAATAAAATTACCTTGTGTCTTCTGGAGATTCTACCAAGACAAAAGATCAAAGTTGAACAAAAGGTTTTCGTCTACCACTAGATATATTATTAAAATAACTGTAACATGGATTGAATGTTATCTGTTACTTACATTAGAGCGTCAGAGCATACGTTCAGCTTTCATCATTTTCTTCACAATGATTCAGACTTTTTCCTCTTTTTTAACTTTTTTTTTTTTTTTTTTGAGCCTGAGGTATTATATATCCACGCAATATAATAAAATCTTTCTATAGTTATAATATTAGGATAATGTTAAAACTAATTAAATTTATTAATATAAAAATGTTATAATTTAATAAACGTGTAGTTAGGAGAATTATTATTTTGATTTCTTATTTTATAATTCATGTTTTATTAGTATTAGAATAGTATAGAAATAGATATCAAATAGTCACTGTAAAATTGAGAAATCAGATTCGACAACTCACTACACTAATCAAATGAATATTAATATTTTCCTCAATAATCCAAATGAGTAACTAATCATGTATATTTTAACTGAAAAATAAATCATTACTGGAATTAGACAATAAGAGAAAATAAATAATATTGAGGATAATAGTACAGAAATACCAAAAAATTCATGCCAAGAAACTCTAAACATGCTTCGACAAGAAAGTGTGATGGTTTATTATATACCCGCAAGATAAAAGATGCGATAACAATTCTAAAACATAAATCATTGTCCCAAATAACTTTAAATAAATATTTTATTTTATCTTAAACCTTTAATGTAACATAATATATATTTTTTGTAATATGCAGATAATTATTACTATATAGAGATAAGTTTTTTAAGATAAGATTTAGAAAAATTATAATTTATTACAATATGAAATTTATCCTTATTTATAATTAATTCAAGTTATGATTAAGAGTTTTTATTATTACATAAAAGTTATTCTTATACAGAGTATCAGTCTGAAAAGGTTCTACTCTCTCTCTCTCTCTCTCTAAGAGTTTTTATCGTTACATAAAAGTTATTTTTATGTAGAGTATCAGTCTAGAAAGGTTCTACCCTTCTCTCTCTCTCATATATATTTATATATATATTATATATATATATATATATATATATATATATCAAGCCTTCTTATCCTCTCCTACATAGAGCCAGAGATTTCATGGAAACAGTTGAAGATATTGTGATTGTTGGAGCTGGAATTGCAGGCCTTACAACTTCGTTAGGACTTCACAGGCATGTATTATTAACCTATATGGTAACAGAAAATTTACAGAACAACTCAACCCATATTGAGAATTAATTAAGTTTCGTGTTGCAGGCTGGGAATCAGAAGCTTGGTATTGGAATCATCAGAGAGTTTGAGGGTCACTGGATTTGCCTTCACAACATGGAGTAATGCCTGGAGGGCCTTGGATGCTGTTGGGATTGGTGACTCTCTTCGCCAACAACATCTACAGATACAAGGGTGATATGTTCTTTTTCATTTTTTCTCTATTCACTTAGATTGAGGAGTTTTGGGTTGATTTTGTGTTATTCAAGTAATTGATATATTTATTGAAGAAATGAAAAGGCCTCAATAATAGCAATTTTCCGTAACATATGGTATAAAACTTCCTCCTGGCTTAACGATGTTAGTGATTCAATAATTTACTTAATGCAATTTCCTAGCACACAGAATGATTTTGGAAACAAATGAACTATTGCTGACATTCTTAAAATTTTTGGCACTAAATAAACTGATGATGCAGAATAGTAGTTACCTCCTCCACATCAGGACAACCCTCTTCAGAGAGATCCTTGAAGGCCAAAGGCAAACAATGAGTCATTAATTATTTCTTCTTTATTTGGCTAAAACACACTGCATTTTAGTAGATTTTATAGGAGCCTTGATACTTTGCGGTATGTGATTTAGTGGAGAAAATGAAACAAGATGCATGAGAAGGAAGTTGTTGTTGGAAGCACTTGAAAAAGAACTCCCCAGTGGCACCATCAGGTTCTCCTCAAAGGTGGTTTCTGTAGAGGAATCAGGCTACTTCAAGTTGGTGCATCTAGATGATGGAAGTATCATCAAGACCAAGGTAAAAAATTTAAGCTACCTAAACTTTTATTTTGAATAGTTAAAAATCAGTTAACCTATCTTATATATGTCTTGAATAAGGTCCATAATCTCTGTGTTTGTGTCAGTTATATTTTCTTTTTAGTCTAATTTCTCAATCTTTATACACTTTGTGAATGAAAGGTGTTGATTGGATGTGATGGGGTTAACTCAGTGGTGGCAAAATGGCTTGGCTTCAAGAAACCAGCTTTTGTAGGAAGATCTTCCATCAGGGGATATTCAGAGTTCAAAGACAGTCATGGCTTCGGGCCCAGATTTCTACAGTTCTTCGGAAAAGGCATTCGATCCGGTTTCATCCCTTGTGATGATAAGACTGTTTACTGGTTTTTCACTTGGAGTCCCTCCAGCCAAGGCAATGAGCACTTCTCTTGTATATTACTAGATGTTGCTCATTTTTTTTTTTTTTTTATTTTCTAACTTCTGTTCCTGATATTTCGTTGCTAGCAGACAAAGAGGTAGAGGATGATCCTGCAAAGATGAAGCAATTCGTGTTGCGCAAGTGTCACGAATTACCTGATCGAGTAAAGGCAGTTTTAGACAACACTCCACTGGATGGCATAATATGTTCACCACTGAGATACAGACATCCATGGGAAGTACTATGGGGAAATATCAGCAAAGGTAATGTTTGTGTAGCAGGAGATGCACTTCATCCTATGACACCAGACCTCGGCCAAGGAGGGTGTGCAGCTTTGGAAGATGGCATTGTTTTAGCAAGGAGCATCGCAGAGGTCTTAAAGAAAACGCCGAGCGAAGAGATTGAAGAAACGGCTGCAGGGGAATTGGAGAAGGAAGAGTTTAAGAGTATTGAAATGGGATTGAAGAAGTTTGCCAAAGAGAGAAGATGGAGAAGTTTTGATCTGATCACAACAGCCTATGTGGTTGGTTCAATACAACAAAGTGAAGGCAAGATAATGAACTTGTTGAGGGACATTTTCTCTGTATATCTAGCTGGGTTGTTGAGTAAGAGAGCTGATTTTGATTTTGGGAAGCTCACCATTTCTGATCATATGCAGTAGCTTCAAGAAACATGAGATGAACTTGTGGTCGGTAGTTTGATTTATGAATTTGAAGGTTAAAGTGGATTAGAAGGCCACATGGGAGTTGCTTAAAGGAATATCTACGTGGTACCAGATTAGTACTAGTAGAATAAGTTTGTTAAGATAATTGGGTATAAGAAAGGAAGGAAAGATGTACAGGGTATTGGGAGGTTCCTAGCTCCTCGAAGCGCTAGTGTTATCTTTTCTTTTCATTTTCTTTCATTCTGTTCTTCTTCATTTTTTCCATTAGAGTTCTCAGTTCTGAAACATCAAGTACTGCAGATTATTAATACAAATATCAGTGCATTATTCAGTGTTTAATCTTGTTCTCTGTGTGAGTTGAGTTGGTTGTGGGTGAATCATTCAGGTTCTTACCATATTATTTATTGCTAAGCTTTCATATTTGATAATACATCAAAGTTGGAAACTCCAAGCTGAAGTAAAGCTCCTATTCCATTTAACATAAAGCAGAACTGCAAAGTATGAAAGCAAAAACGGGTAGAAACTTTATTCTTCCTTGTAAAGTCTAAGGAAGAATTATTAATAACTTTTAAGTGGCTCTCCCGCGATCCTAAGACATCAGTCCATAGATATAACTAACCTCAGTGGTTAAAGAGTTTGTCATCTGGTAATAAGAGGTCAATTCAAGTCACCTCAGTTGCTAATTTCAGTCGTTAACTTTAAGAATCCGAAAAATTAATCGAAGTACGAATAAACTGATATAGACACTCCTGATAAAAAAGAGAAAGAATTATTAAAAGATTAAGATTTATTTTTATTTTTTTTAAATTGCAAGACCATTAAATTACACTAATGACTAGTAACCCTTATAATTTTGGTACTATAAATCAAGTTTTTCCAATAACGGAAATAAATCAAATTACAAAAACACATTTAAGAATTTTTTGCATTCCCACATCGACGTCGTATTTAACCAACTTAACCCACCCTAAAACGACGTCGCTTAACCTTTTCCTCTGACTTGCAGAGAAGGAAACCAATCAACCAGTCCGACTCAAACCCTAACTAGCTTACTAAGCCAAGCTTCACCATCGTCAATCTCCCCAAATCAACATTCTTTCTCTCACCCTTTTCCCAATCTCTATTCACTCAACTTTTATTTTGATCCAATTCCATCTCTTCCTTCCAACAATTCGTTTTTTTTTCTCGCATTTTAGTCCCTTCACAAGATGACTCAGGACGTCGAGATGAAAGAGCTCCCCTCCAATTCCCTCCCCTCCTCCTCCACTCCTTCAACTCTCAACCGTACGATCCGAAAAATCATTCATTCATCTGAATAATTGTTCGATTATCGAATTAGAAATATAAAGTATCGTTTTTTATATTTGTTTGTTTATTTTGGTTCAGATTTGAAGGAGATTGCTTCGTTGATTGAAACTGGTGCTCATGCCCGTGAAGTGCGGCGGATATTTCGCGCCGTGAGGCTGACGATGGCACTGAGACGGAAACTCAAGCCTCCGGTGCTGTCGGCTTTTCTTAACTATGTTTTGACTCCGGGATCCGACGTGCACACGCGCTTAATCTCGTTTCTTCCCAAGGTAATTTCTGTTATTTTGACCTGATTTTGGGCGGGGGAAGAGGGTTATGTGGAAGTTTTGATTTTGATGTAAAAGTTTTGGTGATAGGAAGATGATCATGAGATGGAAGTTGATACGGCGTCGTCTGTGACTCAAGTGTCTTTGAAACACTCCTTGCCTGAGATAGAGATATTCTGCTACTTGCTTGTGCTGATATTTTTGATTGACAAGAAGAAATACAATGAGGTAGAACATTTAAGGGTTTGTTTCTTGGATTTCTTCATTTATGGATAAATGAATGTTTTGTTAAGTTTGTTGCATTGTGATGTTATAAGGCAAAAGCCTGTTCATCAGCAAGCATTGCACGGTTGAAGAACGTGAATAGGCGAACTGTTGATGTTCTAGCATCCAGACTTTTCTTCTATTACTCTCTTTGCTATGAACTCACTGGTGATCTTGCTGAAATTAGAGGGTGAGCCGTGTATATGCTAAATAATTTTGTACTATTAATCCTTTATGGCGTATTCTGTTTCCTTTTATTGCTAGTTGTAGAATACTTATCAGATAATGAAGGAGATGATTTGGAGTAAATTGTTTTAATTTGATTGTTCATTTGTGAAACAGTAATCTCCTTGCCCTGCACCGTATTGCAACTCTGCGCCACGATGAGCTGGGTCAGGTATATTTTTCAGTTGTGAAAGAAGTTTTGATTGTGTTGCTTAGAAGAATGGGTATTCTGTTTGGTAACCTGCTGATATTTATGCTTGGATACAACACTGTGATGCAGGAAACACTTCTCAATCTGTTGCTTCGCAATTACCTCCATTACAACTTATATGATCAAGCAGAGAAACTGAGGTCCAAGGCACCTCGATTTGAAGCCCACTCAAACCAACAGGCAACTTTAATTTTCTAAACCTGTTTCCATTTTGATATATTTTTTACTGAGACAACAGTATTCTAAGATGTATAAATGCTGAAATGAGGCTTACTGTTTTTTGCATGGTCCAAAATTATATTAGTGTAGCTTATACTAGAGTGAAATATTAAATGAGTTAATAATTAAAGATGTATTTTTGAGAGAAGTGAACAGATTTTATGTTTTAATTTTCTAGCTGTATTGTTAGTCTTGTTTGAGGTTCTAAAAGTAAGTTTTGGGATTTGGGGAGGGTAGGGATATAGGGTTGTATATCCATTGTATTTGATGGAGCATTAGTTATGGCATTGTTTATTGGAGGCTGATTGTGGCTTATTTTTTAAATGATTTTAGTTATTAGTTTTTCATTTTCTGGAACTAACTATTTCTTTTGCAGTTTTGTCGGTACCTCTTTTACTTGGGAAAGATTAGGACAATTCAGTTGGAGTACACAGATGCAAAAGAATCCCTCCTTCAAGCTGCTAGGAAAGCACCTGTTGCAGCCCTTGGCTTTCGAGTTCAATGCAACAAGTGGGCTATCATTGTCCGATTATTGCTAGGAGAGATTCCAGAGAGGACTGTTTTCATGCAGAAAGGCATGGAGAAGGCTTTGAGGCCATATTTTGAGCTGACAAATGTGAGTGTTGGTTTGTCAAACTTGAGCCTTTGGTTTAATTCTTTCATAAGAATAAGTTTTGAAATATTCTGATTCAAAATCGTCTTTGTTCAACTTTAAGACTATGAGGATACTTTTCTGGCTATAATAGGATGTGTTTCCTAAAATTGGCAATCTCCATGCTTGCGGAATCTTGTTAAATTGGGATTACTGCTGTTTTTCTTTCTGTTTTTGTTATTTAATTATTTAACTAAAATTTTAATCCAAATAGTGCTAAAAGATGACCGCTTGGTATAAATCATCCTCTCTTTAGTTATATAAATTATTTTAACTAACTTACCATTAATGATTTTCAGGCTGTCCGCATTGGGGATTTAGAGCTCTTCAAGTCTGTTGCTGAGAAATTCTCAAGTATTTTCAGTTCAGACAGGACAAATAATCTGATTGTTAGGCTGCGGCATAATGTCATAAGGACAGGACTGCGGAACATCAGCATCTCTTATTCTCGCATCTCGCTGGCTGATGTTGCCAAGAAGCTGAGACTGGACTCTGCTAATCCGATCGCTGATGCCGAAAGTATAGTTTCTAAGGCAATCCGAGATGGTGCAATTGACGCAACATTGGATCATGCAAATGAGTGGATGGTATCGAAGGAGACAGGCGACATCTACTCTACAAATGAACCTCAAATGGCATTCAATTCAAGGATTGCGTTCTGCCTCAATATGCATAATGAGGCAGTGCGTGCACTTCGTTTCCCCCCAAATTCCCACAAGGAAAAAGAAAGCGCTGAGAAGAGGAGGGAGAGACAACAACAAGAGCAAGAGCTTGCAAAACACATTGCTGAGGAGGATGACGATGAGTTTTAATTTAGAAATCTTCAAACACATCCATTTGCACCATGGAATGCTTTCATCAAGTTTTTCATCTTCCTCTGAAATACCTCAGTACAAGCATTCCGGATCTCTTGTTCAAGTTGACCTGAATTTATGATAGCTCTTGCTTTTAGTTCATGTTATAGTTATTAAACTTGAGCAACCTCCGCAAATACTATTTTGAATTAATATCTGGGGTTGCTCTTGCGCATCTGCCCTTTGATCTTTTCTTTTTTTTTTTTTTTTTCTCACTTAATTGCTGTATGTTATTGTTTGATGCATCTATGGAGCTGGGAAATGATTAAATTCTCTTCCTCTTTTTGTGTTCTCTCCTTAGGAACCATGCCTCTGTTTTGCAATGGCCAGCATCTGATGATGGCTGGCTCTGCCCCTGCAAGACTCGTTTGAGCCTAGTTCATTAAAATTCTTGAACTCGTGAATGAATTTGGGTTTTCTGCATGCGGTCCCCTCTTAACTTCTTTCAAATTTTCAATTCTTTCATGAACATCCTATTGTTGTCAGAATACTAAGCCAACGAATGCCGGTTTCATATGTATCTCTTTTCTTTTCTCAATTCTATGATTGACAATTTTTTTTAAAATGACTAAATATGTGATTGAAAACCATTGATTTGAAGTATATATGAAAGTATTTATGGGACTTAAATATGCTTTGCAGTTAATGGTCACACAAATGAATGTGAAGCGGTAGTAAAACCTGGAGAAGGAAACAGATTGTTTCTAGTGAAGAATTTACATCTAGGTAACAGGTAGTGAAGATTATGCCATTAACATAGGATTCCAAACAAAATTACAAATTTTGATGTTTGAAGCGAGAGGTGGTTGGTTCTTTCAAGTCACTATTTGCAAAACTAGTAAGAAAGATGATGATCACGAGCTTTATATCTGGTACAATCAGATTCTGAGTTCTTGAAAAAACACCATAAATGATATTAAATCTGTTCGATTTTTGAGTGATGCTGAGGGAAAATAACAAAGGTAATGAATACAAATAAAGGAATATCCAAAAAGGGTACATCTTACAATGGCCAATCACCCAGCTGAACTCAACCCAAATGACTTGACAATGGTGCTAACCCTTTCTGCAAAAGTTGTGGATGTTATCTTTTTACCTGGCACGTGAAATGGGTTTGAAACTGCATCCACATATGCGGCATGGAACCTCCTGAAGAACTATACAATAATTTCATTGACACAGAGAAGAACACGTCAGATCCCTTACTTCAATTGAAAGTCTCCGGCAAATATAAATTTTAACATCTAAAACAAAAACAAAAAATACTCAGCTACAAGCAAACCAACATCCTAAATCACTGTTCTAATTACAAACAAGTAGAAGGGAAGTAGATTGAAAATTTGAAGGGACTTATATCAAGAGAAAATCTTAATCTGTGCATCATTTAGAACTAAATATAAGTAACAAGTGTCTACCTATCTATAAAACAATTAAATTGATGGCAAGAAAATCTAGAATTGATTATATGGAACCCAAGCTAGGATGATTCACTTATCATCAAGAACAGGCACAATAACAGGTGAATAGCAACAGCAGTATTTACAAGGATAACAAAGTTCAGAACCTTGACTAGGAATTGCTGAATCCAGAAGGTCTCACTATACATCAAGACATATCAGCAGTTTAGATGACAAATATATATCAGATGCATCTGATGCCACAAATTGAATGAACCCCCTGTTGTTTATTCATACAAGTTATTTCCAAGCATCAAATTCATGTTTCAGAAGGTTAATCCTTAAAGATTTGTTGCTGGTTGTAACTGAACCAAATCTCAGAATTCTCACAGGAGATAGACATGATGCATTATTGCACCTTAGCAGTGCTATGTCTACCTTAAACAAAAAACATAATGAAGCAGATAACATTCATGAATCATAATTTCAATACTTTCATACAAGTGATTTGGTAAGACATGGCTACCAAAAAAACAAAATACTTACATTCCTTACATCTGCATCTCTGACATCTAAGTCGGTGGCCACTATGATAAACTTCACCTTTGTGTTAGTCAAATAGCCATACCTGAGGAAAACATATTGCATAAGAAAATCAAAAGTTACATAATGACAACCAAAATATATCCAAATGTGTCTATAATATAACTTCTTACACTTTATAGTTTTCAGTCGGATAAAGCAGACCCAAAAATGTCTCATTCAGAGTCGGTCCAGACTTCTTCGGATTGTTAACTGTGCATATTCATATTCACAATCAGAAATCAAAATTTGAAACTCCAACTATTAGTAAACCATGAAAGACTCCGTGATCTATTCTATAACTACATTTACAACGCTAGTGACTTGGAACAAGAAACTAATGGCATATCAAAACAGCGCCCCAGAATTATCAGAATATTACAATATAAACAGATCCCCTTTCCCAAAACCCTACAAAAACTCTAAAACTGAACTGCAAAAGTACAAACTTGAAGCAAAAGACTATCCTTTTTAATGTTTATGAGCATGATCCGAACACTAAATTATCTCAAACAACATATAATCAAAAACCCAGTTCATATCATTCCAAAAATAATCCAAATTCAACTATTTCTTATACTATACAACAAGATCACATCATAAAATAGAAAAAGAAATACAATAAGAAAATAAACGAATGTCGAGATATTCCAATTACTTCTTATACCTCGCTCGTCAACGACATCAAGGGAACAGTGAACGATGTGATGCAGCTTGAGGGCGTCATCTGCCTCTGTGAAGCTCTGTATGTAGAGCGGATTGTTCTACAGAATACAGATAATTAAAAAATAAAGAGGAAAAAGTTAGATTTAAGGGACCGGAGAAAAAAGATGTAAACTTCACAAGAATGAGGGTGCACCTGATGGCCAACGACCGCAACGCACACGATCATCTTCTCCGCTGGATGAAGAAGGTGGTGATTCCCGTTTCTCTCTGCTGAGCTGAATTGAGAAATTATTTTAAGGGGTGGCTGGCAGAATAATCATACTTGAAGGGCTTTTTTGAAAATATCCCAGTCTCTTAATTTCCCTCTCTTACCTGCCAAGGGCAAAGTTGGTAATCCCGAGTAGATCTAATATCAGTTAATGCATCGTCGTTTTGGTAAGTAACCTAATAAATTCATTTTTTTTTTTAATTTTAAAAAAATAATTAAATCTCCTCTAACTAAACAAGATGAGAAAACCATTTAGGGGAAATAAAAATAATGAGTACTATCTTTGGATGGTCGAGTTATTCGGTAGAAACTTTTAGATGTATTACTCAAGAGGTTCTCAGTTTAGTTCCTCCTCGGTTACTAATAAGAGTAGTCACAGCGCTAACCATTATCCGATTGGTATTTCAGAGTCCCGAGATTATTGCATTGTGCTAAGTTGACCCGAATACCCCTAATCATTAAAAAAAAAAATAAGTTTATAAATAAATATCATTATTTTGAATGAATTTTAAGTTTAATGTTTCATAGATGTGAGTTTGTTACATTTTCCTAGAAGAATTTATATTTTTCGAAAATAACGTGTGTGTTGTAACAATAATTAGTTATTAAAATAAAATCCTATATCTAACAAAATTTTAATTTTTTTTTTCTTTTTTTTGGTGACCGAGAGTGTTTGGGTAATTTGCACGCATCTCAACTAATCTTTTTGGACCTTCAAGTTGATAGTATGACAAATCCCTTCATAGTCACTAGGGATAAGCATAATACTCTTTCCCATAGGGACCCGTCCTGCCTACCCTAAACAAGGCAGAGTTTCCTCGAATTATTCGAGGTTTGGGTCGGGCCCAGGCCAAAAATTGGTCCCCGAATTCGGGGACGAGATTGGTCTTGCCCTGTTCCTGTCCCCGTCTATATATATATATATATATATATATATATATAGTAAGGTTTATTTTAACTATTAATCGTATTTTAATTTTATATTGAAATCAATCAATGAAATCATAAATTATAATTGTGTGAATATTTTATAAAACCATACAAATAGGTAATAAATAAATTATATTAAATATAATAATCATTATAAAATTTATATATATAATAAATTTGTATATATGTATAATGTATCATTTGATATACATATATATATGTTATTTATGTATATTTTTATCATTTGATATTTTCATTGATGATAATAATCATTATTAATTTTTTTGTTCATCATTGAATCATTATTTCAATTTCATTACCTAATTGCCTTTATTATATTATGGTAGCTATTTATTTAGAATTTATTATAATATATATGTATAATGTCATTGTAATCATTATGTATATGTTATGTATTATTTAAATATAATGACTATAATATATAGGGTATAATTTATTATTATATATTATACATTATACATGATATACTATAAAACAAAAATTATACATTATATATAAACTAATATGCTATATCGTAATCTAATATCATATATTCATATATTAATACTCGTTACTTAATACATAATACTAATACTATACCATTAATATATATATATTACATTATGTATAATGTATTATATTATATTTTGATATTTTGATTAATTATAATTTTTTTAATCATTAAAAATAAAAAAATTATAATGCAAAACCATAAACGGCTTTGAATTCTTCGTTCGAGCTACGGGTCGGACCAGAGAATCCCCTTGAGCTTTCGGTTGCGGCTAGAGAGAGAGGTCCCTAGCCTGTCCTATCCCTAGTAGTCACTCCTATTAACAACTTAGGTGGATCAAACTTTAAACCTTCTAATTTTAATTTTAATTTTAATGCCACATAGATGTGAGTTTTTACCTTTTTTTTTATTTAAGAAAATTCAAGCCTTCAATAAATGGGGTCTTGAATTCAAAATTAATCAAGAGCTTCAAAGTTTGGTGTTATCAATTTCTAAAATCAATTTAACATATATTGGATGAATATAGATATTAGTGGCGAAGCCAAAATATACTGGAATTCCAATTTATGGGTAAAGTGTTATGCTTAATTTAAAATATCACCAATGAAGGGAGACCTAAATTAGAATATTTTGAATTTACTTAAAAAATTTATAAATATTCTAATTTAATTAAGCTTAAATTGAGTAATATACCTATAATATAAATAAAACCTTGCAAAGAAAGGCTACCTTTCTTGTTCTGAAAATTGTCTCTTGGAAAAGCCATATCAATGCTTCTTTCAACTAGAGATCAAGAAATCAAATTAAAAACTCTTTTTATTTCAACTAATTTAAAACATGTAAAAAATTATAATTAGTTCATTTATTAATTATTAATTAACAATCACTCTTTTTTTTTCATTGTTTTTCAACCTTAAATAATTGTGTTGTCGTGACCATATCTAGTTAAAGTAAGGTAAAACGTAAAAAAAACTAAAAGTAACAAAATGGAAGTCGTAAAACAAATAAAACTTAATTAATTTCTTTTTTATTAAAAGTAAAACAATTTCCTCAAAAAAAAATCCCAACCTGGTAATTCCCATTTTAGTCCACAGATCTAACGGCCACAATAATCATCAAATTGTTTTGGTTAGATAACGTATCATAACTCATCAATCAAGGGTAAATATGTACATTCCTTGTTTCCTACCCTCCCCTCGCCTTCTGAAATTCCATCTCTACCCCTCCTCTCTCTCTCAATTTGCATTATATTCTCAAACGTCCATCAAACAACAGTGACTTCCATAAGAAACCAAAAAAAAAAAAAAAAAAAAATCGAAAAAATTGAAAGAAATATCCGCAAAAACTCTTTTATATTTTCATTTTTAAATCTTCGTTTTATTTCCGCCGGGTTCTCCGTTGATCCCTCTATAATCCACTAATTAAATCTCATTCAGTAAGCTGATAATTTTTTTTTTTTTTTTTTTTGGAAATTTAATGTTCTTCATTTTCTTATCATTACGTTGATTTGAGCTAGCTTTCGTTATTAATCAACATAGCGATCGGTTCTCTAGGTTTTTCAGAGCTGCTGCGAGCCTTTTCTTATATGAATATTAATTCGTATTGTCGTTTTTGAATTGATGCTTTAGTTGTATGTCGATGCTACGTGTCTTTTTTATGCTACTTTCATTGTTAAAAGCTTCTGTATTTGATTAGAGTTCATTTGCTTCAAGGAGAATTAGATAAATGTAGAAAATGAGGTTTCAGTCTGTTTCTTTTTTTTTTTTTTTTTTTTTGATATTATGAATATTCGTTTTTGAATATAGCGTGTGTTTAGGGTTTTGAAAGATGATAGTTGGGAATGAATTGAACATTATATAGATATGTATAAGTTGTGGTATATGTTAATTTTGTATTGAAAATAAGATTGGGAACGACGGTTTTGATGATGTTTTAGTATTTTTGTAGTTAGATGGAGACTGAGAAATGTGATACTGCTTCTGAAGTTAATGGCCCTGCTACAAGTGCATTGGATGAAAATGGTTTGAAGCGTGATGATTCTACAACAAATAGGGTTGTTTGTGAAGCAAGTGTAAATAGTAAAGGCAATGGAGTTAACAGATTGAGTGAGGTTGTTAGGAACTTGCATAGTGTCCCATATATATATAGACAAGATGTTGTGAGAAGTAATAAGAGTCGTGCGACTGGGATTGTGAGTGAAGTTGCTGGTGACTCGGATTCAGATAGTAGCATAACAGATGATGAGGATGATGTTGAAGATGATGATGAGGATGGGGAAGATGAGGAAGGGAATAACAACTCTAATGAGAATGGTAGCGTAAGCAGAGGAAGTGATAGTTATAATTGTGGTTCTCTTCAAACTGATCAGGTGCGGGTACTTTGGATGGATGACACTGAGCCAGTTCAAAATATCAATGATGTAACAGTTATTGATCGGGGATTCTTACATGGGGATTATGTTGCTGCTGCTTCAGAGCCGACCGGGCAAGTGGGTGTCGTGGTGGATGTCAATCTCTCGGTTGATTTGTTAGCTCCTGATGGATCTACTGTAAAAGATATCTCATCCAGAAACTTGCAACGTGTGAGGGATTTCACTGTGGGTGATTATGTTGTACTTGGTCCTTGGCTGGGTAGAATTAATGATGTGTATGACAATGTGACTGTTTTGTTTGATGATGGTTCCTTGTGTAAAGTTATGAGGGCTGAGCCACTGCGCCTCAGACCAACTCCGAAAACTACCATTGAAGATGATGGGCATTTTCCTTACTACCCTGGACAGCGTGTAAGGGCTGCCTCCTCATCGGTTTTCAAGAATTCTAGGTGGTTATCTGGCTTGTGGAAAGCTAATCGTTTGGAAGGTACTGTAACTAAAGTTACAGCTGGATCCGTATTTATTTATTGGATAGCATCTGCTGGCTATGGACCTGATTCTTCTACTCCCCCAGCTGAAGAACAGAGCCCAAAGAACCTAAAACTGTTGTCTTGTTTTGCTCATGCAAATTGGCAAGTAGGTGATTGGTGTCTTCTTCCATCATTGGCAAAAACATCCCCCATTCCTTTAGACAAGGGCTTGTCAAGATTACAACTTAATGATTCTGTCAAAAGTGATTTAGATCCTGATCAACTGGTCAGCAGGTGTGACTCAGAAGAAATTGCAGTGGAGGATTCAAATGAGAATGATGAATCCATGGACCTTGATCCCATAACTGCACCTGATGAAAACAGTGAAACTATTGCAAGTAGAGCCTCTCCTGAATCTAGCTCTTGCAATCGTTCATTGTCAGTTTCAAAGGATACTGGCCATGAACCTTGGCCTGTTCATCGAAAAAAGATTCGTAAGATTGTAATTAAGAGAGACAAGAAGGCTCGAAAGAAAGAGGAAAATTTTGAAAAAGCTCTATTGATTGTCAATACCAGGACGAGGGTTGATGTGGTGTGGCAGGACGGAACCATAGAACGTGGGCTAGGTTCGACAACTTTGATCCCAATTGATAGTCCTGGTGATCATGAATTTGTTCCAGAACAGTATGTGGTAGAGAAGGCAGCTGATGATGGTGATGATACTTGTGAAGCTAGGCGTGTTGGGGTTGTAAAAACGGTTAATGCAAAGGAGCGGACAGCTTGTTTAAGGTGGTTGAAACCCGTTGCTAGGGCAGAAGATCCCCGGGAGTTTGACAAGGAGGAAATTGTAAGTGTATATGAGCTGGAGGGACATACTGATTATGATTATTGTTATGGCGATGTAGTTGTTCGATTGTCTCCAGTTTCAGATTCCATGCAACCAGCCAATGGGGGTTCTGTTGAGGAATCAGAGAATCAAATTGGACCAAATGAGAGTAAACAGGATGTGAAAAAACACTCAGGGTCTAAGAAAGTAGAGGATGCATCCGGAGATGAGTCCTGCACGGACTTTACAGATCTATCTTGGGTTGGGAATATTACTGGCCTCAAGAATGGTGATATTGAAGTTACATGGGCTGATGGCATGGTTTCTATGGTATATTCACTCCCTTATTTGTGAAATCATATATGTTATATTTATGGAATGAATTTTTAAGCTCCATTAACTGTCAATCTCTAACTGACTTGAATTTCTTATATTATGAACCAAGTACTTTACTCTCTTCTACCTTTCTTACGCATGCAAAAACTGCTGTTTTATCTCATTGGATGTTATCATGGAATTGAAGAGTAGTGAATCTGTCATCTGCTTTCATTGACTTAATATGTGTTTGAATGGGATGTTAATGATTTGAGATAAACCTTGGGGCGGTGAGATTGAGCTTGTGACTCCTTTTAGGAGGTTTCTATTTCTAGAAATTGAATAACTCCTGCTGCCTGATATTTTTTCAGTCATTTGATGATGGGTGACCTTCTCAACTTCTAAAATTCAGCATATTTGTTGTTTTGATAACTGAGTCTTTGGCTTTTCTTTAGGTTGGACCTCAAGCAATTTATGTCGTTGGTCGAGATGACGATGATGAGTCTATTGCTGCTGGGAGTGATGTAAGTGATGATGCTGCTAGTTGGGAAACGGTTAATGATGATGAGATGGATGCTCTTGAGAATACTCAAGAGGTTTGTTTGAAACAGTTGTGTGAATGCCCTTAAATTCAAAATCATCTCTTGTCAATCAGATTAAGTTCTACAAAAGTTACCGGCATTACCAGGACAGGTTGAATATGTACTTGCAGTACATCTAGAATTTAGATCAAGCTTCATAGAAAAGGATTAGCTTATATTTGATTCTGACTACCCATTTGCTGAACTGTGTCTCCCATGAGCAGCTGTTGGAAGATCTTCCAATATTCCTTTTTTTTTTTTTTTTTTTTTGAAGATAAATATCTCGCTGGGAAAGGAATTTTTTTTTCTCATATTGACAGTTCATTGATAATAAGTGTTGTTTGAATTTATCAGGTAGTACATAGATGTATGATATGTTGTTGTTGTTGTTCGAGTAATTGACGTCAGTCTGTGGTGTTCAGGAAACTGCATTGCATGATATCACTGGCATATCTTCTGAGGCTGAAGAGAGCATAGAGAATGGTTCTGGAAGAAATGCTGCTTTGTCTCTTCCCTTAGCTGCACTTGGGTTTGTTACCCGACTGGCCAGTGGAATATTCTCCCGGGGGCGAAAAAATGTGGATCCAGTTTGTTTGGATGCCAGAGTTGAAAATGAACTTCCATCACAGGAAATGATTGAAAATTCTGGGGGAAAAGATTCTGGTAATGAGTTGAGTTCTCAAAAATCTGATGTCATTGATAATTGTGGTGGAGAAAACAGTCATGGAAAACATGAAGATGTTGACGTGGAGGCCCCAGAATTTTCTGATGCTGCACAATCTTTGAGAGAACAATCAGAGAAGCCAGCATGTTACATGGAAAACTCTTTCAGTTTCAAGCGCTTTGACATAGCTAAAGATCCTCGGGACCATTATTTTCTTGGTGCAAGTGAACAGGTATATGTAGTTCTGTCTTGATTATATTTTAAGGAGCTTGCGATCTTCTTGGATTATTTAATTTTATGATACATAAATTATGCAGAGATTTTGCCATCATCATGGGATGTATGACATCTTAAACCGTGCTATTTTAGAATTCACCAATATTTTACTGCAATAACTAAGAATGTAATGACAGGGTGAGTGAAAATGGTAGATTAAAATTTTAAGGAAATGCTAAAAACAATGTATTTTTGTTTTTCGTGTGAAACTCTGGAGTCTGTCAAATTGTTGTTTTCCTTTGATGTTTGGGGAAAAAAAAAAAAAAAAAAAGAATTCTTTAGTTAATTAAAGTGATGATTATATTCTGGACATTTATATTGACATGGACATTATTATTGCATGAAGTTGAAACTATAGTTTTACCATTTGGTTTGTCCCTGCCTAGTTACTTTTTTGTCACTACAATTGCAGAATAACAATGGAAGGAAGTGGTTCAAGAAGATTCAGCAGGATTGGAGCATCCTCCAGAACAACTTGCCTGGTAGGGATTATTTTGGTGTATTGTATATAATATATTCTGTCAGAGTTATAACATTATTCATTTTAGCAGCCTTTGATAAAAGCAATTGACAATTTCACAGATGGGATCTATGTACGGGTTTATGAAGATCGAATGGATCTCTTAAGAGCTGTAATAGTTGGGGCATATGGAACACCTTACCAAGATGGCCTCTTTTTCTTTGATTTTCATCTCCCTCCAACATATCCTGATGTTCCACCTGTAAGAAGTGCCCTTCAAATCCTTTTAAATGTTTTTATTTATAAGCTATAAGTTGGTCTTATTTCACTAAATTTACACAATTTTGCTTATCTTTGAATTTGATGACAAAGGATTTAGTAGTCTTTTTGTCTTTTCCTGACCGATTCTGTGATGGTGCAGTCTGCATACTATCATTCTGGTGGTTGGAGGATAAATCCAAATTTATACGAGGAAGGCAATGTGTGCCTTAGCCTTCTGAATACGTGGACTGGCAGAGGAAATGAAGTGTGGGATTCAGCTTCATCTAGCATCCTTCAAGTTCTAGTTTCACTTCAGGGGTTGGTGCTAAATTCTAAGCCATATTTTAATGAAGCTGGGTATGATAAGCAAGTTGGAACAGCTGAGGGAGAGAAAAATTCTTTGGCATACAATGAGAATACTTTCTTGCTTAACTGCAAGACAATGATGTATCTTATGCGGAAACCCCCAAAGGTGATGGTTACTTCCCATTATCCTGCTTATCGTTTACTTTTATCAGTTTCTGGCAATTATAATATTACATTGGTTATTTCTTTAACCTTAAATCGAGAGAGACATGAGTGTCAAAAATATTGGGTCATAATTTTGTTTTTTCAGTTGTTAAAAGTTTTGGATGCATCTCAAAAAACCATGCCATTTCCACCCAAATAACTGATTCTTCGTTTATATTGCTTCAGATTGTTAATGCTTAAAAAAAAAACTTGAGGGCGTCATCTGCCTGTGAAGCTCGTATGTAGAGGGATTGTCTACAGAATACAGATAATTAAAAAATAAAGAAAAAGTTAGATTTAAGGGACCGGAGAAAAAAGATGTAAACTTCACAAGAATGAGGGTGCACCTGATGGCCAACGACCGCAACGCACACGATCATCTTCTCCGCTGGATGAAGAAGGTGGTGATTCCCGTTTCTCTCTGCTGAGCTGAATTGAGAAATTATTTTAAGGGGTGGCTGGAAGAATAATCATACTTGAAGGGCTTTTTTGAAAATATCCCAGTCTCTAATTTCCTCTCTTACCTGCAAGGGCAAAGTTGGTAATCCGAGTATATCTAATATCGTTAATGCATCGTCGTTTTGGTAAGTAACCTAATAAATTCATTTTTTTTTTTTTTAAATAATTAAATCTCCTCTAACTAAACAAGATGAGAAAAACCATTTAGGGGAAATAAAAATGAGTACTATCTTTGGATGGTCGAGTTATTCGTAGAAACTTTTAGATGTATTACTCAGAGGTTCTCAGTTTAGTTCCTCCTCGGTTACTAATAAGAGTAGTCACTAGAGCTCTTTCCGATTGGTATTTCAGAGTCCCAGAGATTAGTGCATTGTGCATAAGTTGACCGAATACCCCTAATCATTAAAAAAAAAAAAATAAGTTTATAATAAATATCATTATTTTGAAGAATTTAAGTTAATGTTTCATAGATGTGAGTTGTTACATTTTCCCTAGAGAATTTATATTTTTTTCGAAAATAACGTGGTGTTGTAACAATAATTAGTTATTAAAATAAAATCCATATATCTAACAAAATTTTAATTTTTTTTTTTTTTTTGGTGACCGAGAGTGTTTGGGTAATTTGCACGCATCTCAACTAATCTTTTTGGACCTCAAGTTGATAGATAATGAACCTATCAATAGTCCTAAGGGATAAGCATAATACTCTTTCATAGGGACCCGTCCTGACCTACCCTAAACAAGGCATAGTTTCCTCGATTATTCGAGGTTTGGGTCGGGCCCAGCCAAAAATTGGTCCCCGAACTACGGGGACGAGATTGGTCTTGCCCTGTTCCTTTGTAATTATTACTATTATAATATTATAAGTGTATATAGGATAATTTAAAATTGAAAATCAAGCATAATGAAATCATAATTATAAATGTGTGATGATATTTTATAAAACCATATACGAAATAGGTAATAAATAAATTAATTAAAATAAATAAAAATGTAAAATATTAAAATATATAATAAATTTGGATCATAATGTGAATATAATGCTAATATGTTGACTATACATAATGTACTATATGTATTATATGATATAAGATTTATCATTTGATATTAATAATATGATATTTAATATCAAATAATTGTATAATTTTTTTGTTCATCCATTAATTCATTATTTTAATTTATACCTATTTAAGCATTTATGATATTATGTAGCTATATTTACATTATTATATAAATATAATAGATAATTTTACTATTACTAATTCAAATATAGTATAATTATATTTATTTAATTTAAATTATACATATACATATACATTACTATATACATATATATATCTAATCATATTCATATATATATATAAACGTCTTAATACATAATAATATAATACTATACTTATTAATAATTACATATGTATAATCATTAATTATAATTTGATTTGATAATTATATTTTTTAATCATTAAAAATAAAAAAAAATTATAATGCAAAACCATAAACGAGCCTTGAATTCTTCGTTCGAGCTACGGGTCGGGACCAGAGAATCCCCTTGAGCTTTCGGTTGCGGCTAGAGAGAGAGGTCCTAGCCGTGCTATCCCTAGTAGCACTCCTATTAGACAACTTAGGTGGATCAAACTTTAAACCTTCTAATTTTAATTTTAATTTTATAATGCCAATAGATGTGAGTTTTTACCTTTTTTTTATTTAAGAGAAAATTCAAGCCTTCAAAAAAATGGGGTCTTGAATTCAAAATTAATCAAGGCTTCAAAGTTTGGTGTTATCAATTCTTAAAATCAATTTAACATATATTGGATGAATATAGATATATAGTGGCGAAGCCAAAATTACTGGAAATTCCGATTATGGGTAAAGTGTTATGCTAATTTAAAAAATCACCATGAAGGAGACCTAAATAATGAAATATTTGAATTTACTTAATAAAATTTATAAATATTCTAATTTAATTAAGCTTAATGAGAAATATACCTATAATATAAATAAAACCTTGCAAAGAAAGGCTACCTTTCTTGTTCTGAAAATTGTCTCTTGGAAAAGCCATATCAATGCTTTTCTTCAACTAGAGATCAAGAAATCAAATAAAAACTCTTTTTATTTCAACTAATTTAAAACATGTAAAATAAATTATAAATTAGTTCATTTATTAATTAATTAATTAACAATCACTCTTTTTTCATTGTTATTTCAACCTTAAATAATTGTGTTGTCGTGACATATTAGTTAAAGTAAGGGTAAAAAGTAAAAAAACTAAAGTAACAAAGATGGAAGTCAGTAAACAAATAAAACGTAATTAAATTTCTTTTTTTATAAAGTAAAACAATTTCCTCAAAAAAAAAATCCCAACCTGGTAAATTCCCATTTTAGTCCACAGATCTAACGGCCAATAAATCATCAAATTGTTTTGGTTAGATAACGTATCATAACTCATCAATCAAGGGTAAATATGTACATTCCTTGTTTCCTACCCTCCCCTCGACTTCTGAATTCCATCTCTACCCCTCCTCTCTCTCTCAATTTGCATTATTCTCAAACGTCCATCAAGAACACAGTGACTCCATAAGAAACCAAAAAAAAAAAAAAAAAAAATCGAAAAAATTGAAAGAAATATCCGCACAAAAACTCTTTTATATTTTCATTTTAAATCTTCGTTTTATTTCCGCCGGGTTCTCCGTTGATCCTCTATAATCCACTAATTAAATCTCATTCAGTAAGCTGATAATTTTTTTTTTTTTTTTTGAAATTTAATGTTCTTCATTTCTTATATTACGTTGATTTGAGCTAGCTTTCGTTATTAATCAACATAGCGATCGGTTCTCTAGGTTTTTCAGAGCTGCTGCGAGCCTTTTCTTATAGAATATTAATTCGTATTGTCGTTTTTGAATTGATGCTTTAGTTGTATGTCGATGCTACGTGTCTCTTTTTATGCTACTTTCATTGTTAAAAGCTTCTGTATTTGATTAGAGTTCATTTGCTTCAAGGAGAATTAGATAAATGTAAAAATGAGTTCAGTCTGTTTCTTTTTTTTTTTTTTTTTTTGATATTATGAATATTCGTTTTGAAATAGCGTGTGTTTGGGTTTTGAAAGATGATAGTTGGGAATGATATGAACATTATATAGATGTATAAGTTGGGTATATGTTAATTTTGTATTGAAAATAAGATTGGGAACGACGGTTTTGATGATGTTTTAGTATTTTGTAGTTAGATGGAGACTGAGAAATGTGATACTGCTTCTGAAGTTAATGGCCCTGCTACAAGTGCATTGGATGAAAATGGTTTGAAGCGTGATGATTCTACAACAAATAGGTTGTTTGTGAAGAAGTGTAAATAGTAAAGGCAATGGAGTTAACAGATTGAGTGAGGTGTTAGGAACTTGCATAGTGTCCATATATATATAGACAAGATGTTGTGAGAAGTAATAAGAGTCGTGCGACTGGGATTGTGAGTGAAGTTGCTGGTGACTCGGATTCAGATAGTAGCATAACAGATGAGAGGATGATGTTGAAGATGATGATGAGGAGGGGAAGATGAGGAAGGGAATACAACTCTAAGAGAATGGTAGCGTAAGCAGGGAAGTGAGATTATAATTGTGGTTCTCTTCAAACTGATCAGGTGGGGTACTTTGGATGGATGACACTGAGCCAGTTCAAAATATCAATGATGTAACAGTTATTGATCGGGATTCTTACATGGGGATTATGTTGCTGCTGCTTCAGAGCCGACCGGGAAGTGGGTGTCGTGGTGGATGTCATCTCTCGGTTGATTTGTTAGCTCCTGATGGATCTACTGTAAAGATATCTCATCCAGAAACTTGCAACGTGTGAGGATTTCACTGTGGGTGATTATGTTGTACTTGGTCCTTGGCTGGGTAGAATTAATGATGTGTATGACAATGTGACTGTTTTGTTTGATGATGGTTCCTTGTGTAAAGTTATGAGGGCTGAGCCACTGCGCCTCAGACCAACTCCGAAAACTACCATTGAAGATGATGGGCATTTTCCTTACTACCCTGGACAGCGTGTAAGGGCTGCCTCCTCATGGTTTTCAAGAATTCTAGGTGGTTATCTGGCTTGTGGAAAGTAATCGTTTGGAAGGTACTGTAACTAAGTACAGCTGGATCCGTTTATTTATTGGATAGCATCTGCTGGCTATGGACGACTTCTTCTATCCCCCAGCTGAAGACAGAGCCCAAAGAACCTAAAACTGTTGTCTTTTTTGCTCATGCAAATTGGCAAGTAGGTGATTGGTGTCTTCTTCCATCATTGGCAAAAACATCCCCCATTCCTTTAGACAAGGGCTTGTCAAGATTACAACTTAATGATTCTGTCAAAAGTGATTTAGATCCTGATCAACTGGTCAGCAGGTGTGACTCAGAAGAATTGCAGTGGAGGATTCAAATGAGAATGATGAATCCAGGACCTTGACCCATAACTGCACCTGATGAAAACAGTGAAACTATTGCAAGTAGAGCCTCTCCTGAATCTAGCTCTTGCAATCGTTCATTGTCAGTTTCAAGGATACTGGCCATGAACCTTGGCCTGTTCATCGAAAAAAGATTCGTAAGATTGTAATTAAGAGAGACAAGAGGCTCGAAAGAAAGAGGAAAATTTTAAAAAGCTCTATTGATTGTCAATACCAGGACGAGGGTTGATGTGGTGTGGCAGGACGGAACCATAGAACGTGGGCTAGGTTCGACAACTTTGATCCCAATTGATAGTCCTGGT